TTGTTGGCCCATTGGCATGTGAAACATATCACTTCTTACAGGCGAACATGAATCTAGATCATGACGGACTAGGTTTCAAAAAGCATAAATCCTTTTAGGTCAATTATAAAGTGAAACCTCCCATAAAGACTCACTAAATAAGGAGCTTAAAATAATGAAACAATGGTTGTTACACTCAACTTGAATTGACTATTAACCTACCTATAGTAGCTCTATTAGTAAATGTTGGCTCCATTAGTTTTTTATGATAATGAAATGTTCTCACTCATTTATGTCTAACTATACTACTTGAGTGTGTAAGATGAAAATGTATATCAATAAGAAATTAATCATTGGAAAGCAAATATCAAAACTTATTAGAATAAGGAGTTACAAATGAGCCACAAACCAGAAGCCTCTTAGTTAGATAATTAATGGAGTTAGTCAGCTAAAATTCAAAAGTGCAGTTGACTAGTTCAGAGACAGAGAAAACTTAATCGACTAAGAAACATGGTTAGTTAACTAAGAACTCACTGCTAGATACTTCAATTACAAGACAAAGAGAACTTAATCTACTAAGAAGTATAGTTAGTCAACTAAGAGCTCATTACCAAAGAATTCAACTACAAGACAAAGAAGACTTAATCGACTAAAAAATATGGTTAGTCAACTAAGAGCATTCTGTTTGAAAATTTGATCTTGAAAGCTAAAAAACAGACTAACGGCTAAAATTGACTCTAAACTATTTTCAATGATCTAAAGTTGTCAAACATCTATCAGAGTTGGTTTTTCAAGTATAAAAGACACCCTCAATGACTAAGAACGAGATGAGATGCTTCCAAGATTAAAAAAAGCTTAAAAATAGCAAAAACTCTCTCAACTCTTCTTATTTTTCACTCCAATCTTTGTAATAGAGTTTAGCACTTCATCTTGTACCATTCAAATCAGGTTAGTGATCATAGGTACTCTTTTATACCTATACTTCTTGATTACTTATAGTGTGCGAGTCACTCTAAGAGAATTAATCAAGCTTGGATTAGCTTAATTGGTTTTATAGGTTCTAACTCAACCTAGGAAAAGTTAATTTTGGATTTTGGTTAATCTCGAGAAAAATCATTACTAAAGGTTGTGATTGAGCCTATGAAAAGCCATTGTAAAAGCTTGGTGAAAGCTTGGGAATTCCAGTAGTTATAGTAATTTGGTTTGCAAATCCTTGATTGAAAAATTAAGGTAGTGGATGTAGGTCAAAGAAACCGAACCACTATAAATCTTTGTGCATTATCTGCCTTCTTTTTATTTTTCATTTCATTCTTCTTTAAACCATTCTTTCATCTAGCATTTAACGTCTCATAATTGACCTTTAACTTGCTCCTAATTAAAAGTTAAGTTTAGTGACATTCAAAAAGTGTTATTCACCCCCCTCTAGCAAACATCCTTGGGACCAACAGTAAACTTCATAGACCAAGTGAAGGTGCTCCTTAATCATGTTTAAGTATGAAGATACTAGGTGACATAGTTAAGTGAGAGGATCCTTGTTTGCCTGGTAGTAAATTCTCACAATAACATAGTTAATTGTTTAAAAGTTCTATCACTTAAAAAGGCTTATCCTTAAACTTTTTTATACTATTCACCCCTCTCTATCACTCCAATAAGACCATAACCAATGGTAAGTCCCAAAAGCGATAAATCCCAAAATTGGAAATATAACTCAATTGAGCGAGAACAATTATGGACTTAGTGCATTACATTGTTTTTCCCTTTTGTCTGGTTTTTGTTCCATTGGTTTTTTGAGCTTAAGGTTTTTAATGAGGTAGTAATAACAAATCCAATTAGGCCACCATAATGATTTTCCATCTAAGAGGGAGTATTATAGAAATTGGACATATTACACCACATTAGACCAATTCAAATTAGAATAAATTTGAGAAATGATAAATGTATTATCCGCATTCTAGATATTTTAAGATTAATCTACATGTGGATATTATCTAGGTAATAATGTGATATTTATAAAGAAGATAATGTAATTTAGATATATATCTTAGTAGAAGATTGTGATAGTCATTAATCTATAAAAGGCTTCAACTATAAATAGGGGGTCACCACATCCTTATTTGTATCATAGTTATTTTTTATTCCAAGCATTGCTTCAGTAATACATAAAGAGTATTCTTTCAATATATCTATTTACTTTCTATGTCTATTATTTCTTTTACAACAAAAAAAAATTATTGTTGATTTTTTCTTATGAAAGTATTTTTTATAACTTGTAATCTCATTAAACTTACTACTACATATGACATAAAACAAAGCCACGAATACAAACAATTCCACGTAACTAGGGATATCTAGGTAAAATGCTTGGTATTTTTTAAGTGCCCTAATTTGAATTCTATTATTTTATAAGGTACCTAAAGCTTATAAATACTTAATTAAAATTTTGAATTGCTACATAAACTCATATCTTAATATCCCAGACATTACTCATTAAATATCTAATTTAAATAAATTTAAATTAATTTTGTATGCATATAATTAATAAAAATTAAACTAATAAATTAAAGTTAATCCATAAGAAATAAATTAAAATTTAAAATCATATTTACAAAAATTAATAAATTTTATTATATATTAAATAAATTATAACAAATTTATAAATAAAAATAATATATACAAAATTAAATTTTATTATTAAAAATTCATCATTGTCCACCTATAAAATATTCCCAACGTTTGTGTTTTTCACCGTTAGAACCATTATCAGGACAGATGCGTAAATCGAAAGAAGGAATCAGGGTAATATGGTCAAATTAAGAGATAAACTGGGTACAAAAGGTCAAGATCTCGAAATCGGGTCTCTTTCGAGTCCCTTTGGAGTCATTGGTCTCACTCTCAGGACCTCGTTGGCTCTTCATTTTTCCTTTCGCTTGACTTAAACGTTATCCATTCTTGCTTTTCCTCCGAAGCGCAGATTCTCTGCGGACAAACCCTAAACAATTTGACCCTGGAAAATGTCGGGAAAAGGAGCGAAAGGGTTGATTACGGCTGGCAAATCCACAAAGGACAAGGACAAGGACAAGAAGAAACCCGTCTCTCGCTCATCTCGCGCTGGTCTCCAGGTCTCTCTCTCTCTCTTTTACCCTTTTCCCCCTTAATTTCCTGCTTGATTTTGGTGATGTCCGTGAATCAGGTTTTCATTATGTGAGTTCTATCTATGAAGCATTGTTTAATTCTAGGAAAAAGTATAGTCTAAGATCAAGCAAATTTGACTCTTTTTTTTTATTTTAGTTAATTTTATTCTCACAGTTAATGCTTTACAATTATTTAATTTATTTGTATCGGTCTTCCGGCTCTTTTTGTTTTCTTTTTTTTTAAAAAAAAAACTGTTAAAATTACATTGGAAATGCTTAAGCAGGAATTTGCATTAGTATTTAGCTATTTGTTTAGGAAATTTGCCTAATTTATCGCATCACATCAAGGTAAACAAAGTTTTGCAATTTAAAGGGGGCCATAGCCGAAAAATAAATATTTATCCATAGATAATTTGGCTATCGATGTAACTCCAATAATCTTTAGCTTTTTCTGTTCATTTTGACTTGTGGGTATGAACCATTTGGATTGGTTGTCCTTATTTTTTCCGATGGCAAACACTTTATCTTGCTAAATTGCCCTTTTATAAATATATTTTGTAGCTTTGTTGCAAAGGATGCCACTGAAGGTAGTAGTTGTATCTGTTGATGTTTGAATGTTGGCATCATTAACTGTGCTTTTTGTTGGTAACTTTTCATTATCAGGTTTTATATGTTGTATGACCTTAGTTATTGCAGGGGGAAACTTATGTGTTCTATGAACATTTCTGGTCCAGAATTTTTCCTTTCTAATTATTATTTTGTTTCCATGATGAGAGTGAAATAGAATAGGTGAAAGTTGGGTGGGGAATTGGGACAATTTGTTCCCATTGATATATCTGCTTCTGCCTTTTCATTTAACAGAGTAATTCTTATAGCTTCTGAGATTTGTATGAAATATCCTTATTCCAAGGAGCTGGGGAAATTTTTGTGAAGGAGGTCTGAGGCATATTATCTGTGAGAAAAAACTAGATGCTAACTCTAAGGAATTTCATTTCAAATCAGTATTTCTGTGTCAGTTAATTCTTTTTCTCATTATACTTGGCTGTGTGATGCAGCCTGCTGAACCAGTTTTTGTTGACTCGCTAAAGTCTAGATGCAACATGATTACAATGATATGTTTGAGAGAGAGAGGGTGCGGGTGGGGAGAGGGAGTCTTGGTTAACTCATCAAGCAAAAGGCTTGGATGGATTGCTCTTATTTATCATGGAGAGCAAGTCATCTTGGTCTGCCTTATTAATTTATATTGGTTTTGCTGCCTATTTGGACTCCTTGTTGTCTTGATCACCATAGACATCAGAACATCACTTACTACCATGAAGTTGTGCCCTTTGGTTGTTCTAGGTAGATATGCTGGTTGAATTGGTTGTATTTTTCAAATACAGTTCGGATAGGTCAAGTTCCATCAAAAATTTCTGTGCGCTTGTCTTGGATATCTAGTTAGCCACAGTTACGAGCAATGGTTGTTTATTATCCGCAACTTCTCTTGCTTCTAGGCTACCTGTAGGTGTCTTTGCCTTTTTGGTATGTTGAATGGATTCTGAAATCTTCCTAATCAGCATCCTCCTCCATGTTTAATTGAGGCTGTATCCTGCATGCTAAATTGTTTTGGCAGAAATTGGGTTTTCTATATGTGGTCAAGGCTTGTTACTATTAGCATCATCATCTGTAGGAGACATGATAGACTGGATAATTTTATTCTACTTTGCAGTCTAAGAGAACTACTGTCTCTGTAATACTTCTAAAATGTGATTATTTGCTTCTTATCATGAACCTTTGTTTTGTTTGTACTCTCTGTAGTTCCCAGTGGGTCGAGTCCACCGACTGCTGAAGACAAGGGTTAATGCAAATGGAAGGGTTGGAGCAACAGCTGCGGTATACACAGCTGCTATACTGGAGTACCTGACTGCAGAAGTGCTAGAACTGGCAGGTAATGCAAGCAAGGATCTGAAGGTTAAGCGTATTACACCTAGGCACTTGCAGCTTGCTATCCGGGGTGATGAAGAACTTGACACCTTGATCAAGGGAACCATAGCAGGTGGTGGTGTTATCCCACATATTCACAAATCACTTATCAACAAATCATCTAAGGAGTAGTTTATGTAATTGGTCTCTGTTTGTTTGTGTCTGTACCCTTAAACCTCAGAGAAAATGTTTTGAGGCCTGCTTGTTTATGGACAAGGTGGATACTTGTTGTGTCAGTAGCTGATTATGGAGATTCAGGATGTTGAATTAGAAAGATGCTTCGAGTATCAATTCTAGTGCAAACTGGTGATAGTTTATATGGACGCATTCTTGAAATGCCAGTTACTAAAAAATTTAGGAGGGTCTCGGTGTAAGAGTGATTCTTTTCTCCATTTTTATATGCTAATCTCTTGCTTTGATTTTTACTCCAAAATTATTCATTGACCTCAATGTCCTCAGCATTTTGATTTACCATTAGAATTGCTGAATTTCCCAACATGTCCTCTTGCTGGGGTAAAATGAAATTTTCATCTTTTCTGGTTCTTACTGTAAACAAAATTTTAAATAGTAAATTATCTCCACCTCTAAAGATTTGATGATGATTGACTTTTGAGTCCACTACTATTGAGAATGAACATTTCCTTTCAAATTAATATCATTGGATACATACTTTAGTGATATTGTATGAATTTTATATTCATTTTACCTTTCTTACACCAGAGGAGAAACAAGTAGTTTCTCTAACAGTAAAATTTATTGATTTAATTTTATTGAATCAGTTTAATAAAAACGTCATAAATCATGTAATAATCCATATCACAGTAAATCTCATGAAGACCCTACAGCAAATTCAGGCTGTTTTTGCATGCATGCAAACATTCATCTCAGTAACCAAGTAGCCTCAAATCCTTTTCGCTCCAAGCATGTGATTTGACCCACGCACCATTTTGCCAAGAAAAGAGCCAATGACATACTGAATTGGGACCAAAAATTGAACTTAAAATTAGAATGTTCATATAAGAATTGAATGCCTAATATGATGAAGAAATTTTCACTGTACAAGTTGACAAACATGGTTGCTTTCCCAGGTGACTGCAAAAATGTGTGGGATATCCAAATAGGATGAGGCAAAGAATTTACACACAAAAAATTGAACATCTGTTTCTGACATTGTTATGATGGGTGTGACCCTGTATGCTGTCCAAAAATAGGAGACACCCTTGTCCACATCTTTGCAATGCGGAAAAACAAAAGGACACCTTTCCTGTAAGATAGGAATCCAGCCAGTGTTACATAATGCAGAAACTAAACTAAATATAGAGCTATATAAGTAGGAACATCAGCAAACTGAATTAAGTTTTTGTTGATAGATCAAGTGGTTTACCAGAAGGTTGTTGACACCTCCAAATGCAACTAGCTACTGCTTTTCATCTTTAGCTGTTTCCTAACATTTTGTACCTCCTTTGCTTGTTGCTGTTGAAATGAGAGAAGAACAGCAAAAAAGTTATCCCCAGACAAACAGAAGACCATAACAATTTTAACACATGTATGTAACCAATTATGAACAGAGAATCATAGGTAAAATGGGATAAGAGAATTTAGGTGAGTAAATTTTCTCCATTTTATCCTACTTTTGGATATGCCTAATGATATCATTCTTATTCATCCTACATAATCCCATTCTTAGTTTCTGTTGGTAATTTGCATTTATTTTACTTTTGACTTTTGAGGATGCAGCAAAACCTAAAGAGAAAAAGGTAAGTAGCAAAACAAATGAGCAAATGGGGCTTGATTAGTAACAAGAAATTAGGTTGTCAACACCTCATGTAATGCCTTCCACCACATATCTGATTTTTCTTGCAGTATTCGCCACTCCATTCCCATATCATATTCAATGTTATTGGGCTGAGCAGGATGCGAGGTTGACTTTGCTTTTTTCTGGAAGGGAAAAAAAAAGAGACAATTCAAATAGCACCCTTTAAAAAAATAAGTTAAAAAGAGAAAATGAAAAGAAAAGAGGAGATCAATATTTCAACAACTCATGAATTTGTTGATATAAAAATTATGTTACCATCTCTTCAGTTTGCCTCTTATGCTGGACTCTGTCAATGGTAAGATAACCGACAAATCCAAAGAATTTGCTAGGCTTCCTCAAAGTCTCTCTTCTAGCAGTAACAGGTCTGCAATCAAAGAAAGCTATTTGTAAAAATATTTTTCTGCAATAAAAAATTTATCTATTTTTTTTAATGACACAAGATTCATCTAATTCATAACTACTAATTCAATTCAATGACTTTCAATTAAACATGTTTAACTTGATTAAGTTTCCTTGCATTTTAGTGTATACACTATTATTCATAAAGAAAGCATATACGACATTAAATGCCATCCATATTGGCAAAAATCTAATCTAATTTTATTATTAAGTAATATATAATTCTATTCATTCTTAGAAGTTAGAATCCTAAGAGTTTCTTATACTTCATGTCATCACTATTATAAATTGTGCTTTATTTGAAACTCGGAAACATTGTATTGATTAGCAATTTTTATGATATGATATCTTATCATGCAAATTTACTTATTCTTAATGATTTTTTTTTTTGTTATACAAGCAGATTGTTAAAATTATTATTCTTTGTGCTCTACAAATTCATAATGTTATCATCCAATAAAAGGATCATCTATCTTTATAAATAATAAATATTTAAATTCTCAATGTAATTTTTTGAGCATGTAAATGTAATTAACGTGTCAAATCACATGCAATGCACATGACACAAAAGCTAATAATAATAATAATAATAATAATAATAATAATAATAACAACAACAACAAAAGAAATTTTAAATTAATGTTACTACCCCTATCAACTAGCTGTTCCCCATATTCTCAGCTATTCTATGCCCTTTTCTTCTATGAGCAACCATCCACCTTGTTTTCCAACTTTCCTACATGGCTACATTTTTCTACAGTTGTACTCTTGCTTATTAATAAGAATTTCAATTTGTATTGTGTACATATGCCACTTGTATCAAAATGATGATTTAAAATCTGACATGATGGCAAATGCAGAAATAGTTTCTCAGTTCAAGCACATTACTGGTCAGGAGGCGATATTTACCATCCAAAGGTATTCCGTATCTTTATATTTAAGTAACAAGTAGAACAGATCAACGTTTGCTAATAAGTTTGTTAAAAAATCAAGTGATTGAGCATATAAAAGGTGCTTGGATGAAGCATCCACTCCAGAAATTACTTTCCTTGCTCGGGAATAAAAAAGCGGCTTCATGGTGATGACTAACATCATTGAATGTGAATATGACAAGTACTTGATAACTACATAAAATTACTTTTAGATGATTTGATTGATACAAAGAAGTTCATAAAAGGCAGACACTTTTCTTCCTCTGGAAAAACTAGAAGGAATCTTAGCAACCTCTATAACCAATTATAGGATTAAAATGTACCTTCTCTTCAAGGAGTAATACAGTTTGTGAGTTTAAAAAAGTGGCAAATCAACCCTAAATCCCACCTACTTCACTCCTTTAACACTTAGATTGATTTCTCTCAAAATTAATAAAATTTGATTAACAACATAATTACCCTGGATTTAATCTGTTGAATGAAATCCTAACTACTAGATTCCAGCAGCTGATTTCATGGAAACAGAGCATAAGAAAATCCAAGTAAAAGAACGTTGTAATGTGTTTTGCATGCTGAAAACAAGGAAAAAATCTAATAACGGAAACTTTCGATGTTAACAACAAAGAAAACCTATAAAATACCTCCCATCCGGTAGCACTAAGCATCTCTTTGTTAACTGGGAAATTGCTGAGTCAGCTGCTTCTTTTGACTTGAATATAATAAGAGCCTTACCTGCTAAAACATAGAGATGCTATATTCACAAATTCAGGGTTGAATTTGTACTACTGATAACCCAAAGGTCAATCTCAAAACAGTTCATGTGATTTCTAGACAAAGTTTCAATACGCATGGGAGCCACAAGGAGGTAATGTACCATAGTGTGGGCATGAAAAAGTACTCTTCTCTATCATTTTTGCGTCAACCTTCTCTTTAAATGCATGCCAAACAAGATCCTGACAAGGAAATTTCAAATAAATTAATAAATAAAAGTAATAAAGAATACTTGAGGCCATGAAACATCAAAAAGATCTGTGGCTTGATTATGGTATCCTTAGCATTTCCAAGCACAATGCCAACAGTACGCGTGATTTAACAACTTTAATCCAACATTTTTAAAACTTGATTACAAAATAGTTACAAATATCTGCGAAACCAAGACATGAAACCAAAATTTGGTGGTCTAGACTAAAAAATATATATCTCTATGGGAAGCCATGTAGGTAATTAACAAACAACAAGGGTAATACACAAAACCAAGGAAAAATATCACATACCTCTACTTCTGCTGATGTGTAAGATGCATCCAGATTTTCAAGTGAGACTAGACTACCTCTTTCTTGAGCTCTCTCAAGTCTTTGCTCCCAAGGCTGATGATAGATAATGGGGACAATGATATATTGAAGATAAGAGATAAACTGATCACAAGATGCTATTATAACCATGCCATCTACTAAAACGTCTAATTTTCAAGCTCCAAATCAGCCTTAAGCTACTATTCGTTGTGTTATGAAGTTTATATAATAACAAAAGGTGAAACACCAAAAAGAAGAACTAAACCAAGCAGCATGGACAATGTTTACACGAGAGGTTAAAGATACTATGGCTATGTCAGGGAGCCTTTGGTGAGATGCAAATAACATGGTGATAAAAAATAAAGCTGAAGCAACTAGCCATTAACTTGCTAAAACAACTAGATAGCAAATAATGGAAATGGTGATAAAAAAATGGCTGAAACTCACTAGTTGCTTGAACCAATTTCTTCTATCCTGCAAGGATCAAAATGGTGGATATTAGAACTTAGAAGGGTTGCTGAAGTCATAAGTCAAATGCCAAATTTATCCATACACAAGCTTTCGCAGATATCTTACACTAAAGAGTCGCAGTTAAACACTCAAAACTTACTGCATCAGGTCTTCTTAAAACCTGTACAAGTTGATTATCAATTTTGGTGCCCCCATCCTGTCCTTGTTGATGATGTAGATTATCAAATTTTCTGCTTGCCTTCTCAACCAGAAGAAGTTTCCTCTTTTTATAAGGCTGGACCTCAGCTGTGCTAGTAAGTGAATCTTTAGGAAATTTCACTTCAGCTTTATAAACTTTATCTTGAACTTGGCAGTGTGAACTTCCACCATGCTGAGTCCCACCACTAGGAATAGATGTCTTAAGCCTGGGAGGAGTATTCTCACTTGGACAATGCACTTGCTTGCTCTTGCTAACAGGAGCTGTCTTTGATTCTGCATGTGCCAGAAGCAATATAATTTCATCTAATCAT